ATATATATATAGTCGTTGGATTGTCCTGACTCTTTTATTGATCTATAGGACTTCCTTATAAATTCTAGATGTGAATCCTTTGTCAGATACATGTATTCAGATATCTTCTCCTGGTCTATGACTTGCTTTTTCACTCTCTTAATGGTGGCTTATGATGAACATAAGTTCTTATTTTGGTCCAGTGTATCTTTTTTTTTTCCCTCATGGATAATACTTTTTGTGTCCTGTTTAAGAAATCTTTGTCTATCTCAAGGTTGTGAAGATATTCTCCTGTCTCATTCTAGAAGCTTTACTGTTTTGCCTTTAACATTTAGATTTACAGTCGATTGTTTGTGTGTGCGGATGGTAAGAAGAAGGAATCAGGATTTTTAAAAAAATATGAATATCCAATTATTATCTCTTTATTAAAGCTTTACATTTTTTCAATAAAGGTCTTGTGCATTCATGTGTTATGTCAGTTCCTGGATGCTTTAAATTTTTTACTGCTATTGTGACTTTTTTTTCGTGTTATATTTTATTCTTGATTATTGATGCATAGAGGAATGATAAATGCTTTTTATAAATTCATCTTTATCTACTTTATATCCTTGACAAAGATTTGTGATCTAATCTGTATCGAAGTACTTCGGTAAATAAAACGTACTTGAAGCCTAAAAATATTTTCTTAGACTAGGATGAAGTTAGGGCAATAAAAATTTGTTCTTGTGGTAATATTAGATTGATAGTTTTAGATACCAGATCTAAGAGAATTTTCATAAAGAAGAGAGTCTTATATTCGTTTAAATTGAATATTATGAAAGTGGGATTTGGTTGGATCTCCCAGAGAAAAGAATTCTACATCTAGAGGCTTTTCAACATGTTGTCAACATATTTTTCCCATTTTCTAGTACTTTTGATAATGGTTATATTCAAAACAATGCATCTATTTTCCCCTTCATTTGTAAAATGTACTTTTAGAACTATTATTTTGTAACATTATTCCTATTTAGAAGAGCTTTATCAGTAGACAACTTTGAATGTTGGAAACTGCCTGGACACAAATCTGTAGCAAGTAAACTTCTTGGGGGAATTAACTGTAAGGCAATCTGTTATTACTTGCAGAAATAATACATATTTGTCCAGAATAAGTCCAAGAGCGTTTAGCTTATTTCTAGTTACAGTAGTGAATTTTCCATGTGCTTGATGTTTTAAAATAAGATGTAAAGTTTCCTTTTGCTGTTGAACATCTGTGTGATACACCTTTAATACATTGTGCTAAAGGGTAGTAGTAAAACTGCCTCGGAAAGCTTGTGATTAAGGAACGTTGAAGAATTATTTTATTGTCTGATCTTAATATAGCATTTGTCAAGCTGGAGGCTGCATATCGTTTAGTTCTTTAGGGAAAATACAATGAGCAATAAAAATGTGCTGCTAATAAAGGAGGCAAAGTTATGGTACGTAAACATTTGATGATAAAAATGTGAAGATTTTCTTTATTATTCTGGGACCAGAGTCAGAAATTTAATAATCACAATAAGGAAGGTTTTCTTTTGGTCT